AATCCTATGGAAAAATTATAACCAAATTTTATTAAAAAGGAGAAAATAAATATGGAAATTCTTACCGTAGTGACATCTAAGGGCAGTATAAAGACTATGAGAAAACAAAGATACCAAGCTAATAAAGTTGCAACGATCACAAGTTTGTGCTGCTTTTTGAAGTCACCATATCGCTGAAGTATGATTAGTGCCAAAAAGAAGACGACAACTATCTCAATGCCCAAAGCTGCACCACTCATTATTGTTCACTGATTCCAAACAGCATGTATTGGTTCGTAAGAGGGTTACATCTATAATAAACAGCAAAAAAACAATGATATAAATAGAATATGGCTTGGAATAAATATTTAATTCATTAATATTCAGCTGAAAAGGTTAAAAAAATCCATTTAACTTGTCTACCACATTGGACTCTGCTCTATGCCATCGGACTTCAGTGTATTTTAATATCCACAGAACAAAAGCACTGATCTAAATGCTACTTCAGTTCCTGAGTAACTTCTGTCCTTCTACAAATGGATATTGGTCCTGCTGCCCGAGGTTGATAGGAGTACAGTAACAGTGTAGTAAATCTGGAGTTGGGGAAACTTGTGGCTGTTTTAGAGAACACAAGAGAAGAACAAGGAGATCACAGACCTTTCAAATGATTTTCTGTCCCTCTTTGGTCTTCCTGCTCCTTTGACCCGGTTTAGATTGTTTTTCTGGCTTGTTTCTTTAAGCTGTTGTTTTATTGATTTGTGCTATGACTGTTTTGGATATTATGTCATCCCTTTTCAGTCATACTGTGGCAGAAAGGTAGATTATACTTTAAAGAATAAACAAGATCGGGAATGACAAACTGTTAATTTTATGCTTCATTATTTCATTTGTCAGCTCTTATTAAATCATTGGAAATGAACTTCAAACCACAATCACATAAGTAGTACATATTGCTGTTGTAAGCAGAGATGAGAAGAAAGATTAAAACCTGACAGGCAAACTTTTATCCTATACTGTAATGTAATTTTTACTACACAGGTACTGAGAAAAAGCTAACTATCATATCAAACACTTCCACCAGGATAATAATTTTAATAATTTTAAAGTGTCAAATTAGTTAAAGTAACTAGCGGGAAAAAAGCTTAAGTGACTGCTGGACTAAAAAGCACAGCAACTTTTCAAAAGCAGTTAAGATAAAACTTTAAGCAAACACTACACATATCTGTAAACTTGTTTTCCCTACAATTTCTGTGAAAAACAATGTCAAAATGAAACTATAGTTTAATTCCAGAAACTATAGTATAATTCCAGTGAATTGAAGTTGGCAATTTAAAGTGTGCATTTCGCATTCATTTCCCTTTGCCCTTGCAAACTTGCCTTTCAGTTTCCCTACTTTGGAATGAACTTTTTAAAAGCAGCACTGCTAATTTTGTACAGGAATCAATCACCATTTTAATTCAGGCACATTTATCCTTACAGTGGTACCTTGGTACTCAGCTGCTTGGAAATAATCAGATTTGGTACTCAACGCATTTTGATATGAACATTTTGTCCAAGTACTTGTCTGTTTGGTACTCAACACACAAATTAAAACCTGTCAGTGTCGGCTGCCTTGTGACTCACTATATTATTTCTTGTGGGAAAAAATTGTTTGGTGCTCATCATTTTTGGAACTCATCACACCTCCCAGAAACAATTAACGATGAGTATGAAGGTACCACTATATTTGTTCTTTATCAGATATATTCTTCATGGATGAACACATACATGACTTCCACCTACCCCCACCTAAAATACAAAGTGCTGCAGTACTGAATTCTAGCACTTCTATTCATCTAACACTAGAGGACAGAAATAAGCAACAACTTACAAGTAAGAGAGTTTCTATCAACATACGTGGGTAGCTCTGGCAACAGGTAATACCAGAATAAATACATATCCAATGATAATTATTCATATTCATGTCCTACTTTCATTTAGCATGCTTCTATATCCGATCTAAGCAAGCCAAAAAAAGAAAAAGAAAAGAAATTTGGAGCAGAGAATCCTGCAGAACCAGAGTGGGCAGCCAGATTTTCAAGACTTTAAAGCACCCAGTAAATATTTTTAAAAATATTCCTTAGAATTAGGAAGCTTTCACTCCAATTCTACCATAGTCGCCTCCCAGATAGGCTGGTTGCTGTTCTTGAAGAAAATGCCCTTCCCCAACTTGATACCCTCTGCTTCTGCCCGAATCTCCAAATTTCCCAGATTAAGGGTGATGGGAACTGTAGTCCAATACACCATAGGGGGCCGAGTCAGGGAAGGCCGGCCTGAGAGGGCCAAAGAGAAGAAAGCTAATAGGACGGGAGGATGAAGATGATGCGAACTGTAGTCCAATGCAGCTGCAGGTGATGGGAACCATAGTCCAATATACAATATGGGGCCGAATTGGGGAAGGCCAGCCTGAGAGGGCCGAATAAAAGAAAGCGAACCAGTGGCAGGAAGATGAGTCTGCAAGTGATGCGAACTGTAGTCCAATGCAGGCTGTGGATGATGGGAACCATAGTCCAATACACAATAGAAGGCTGAGTCAGTGCAGGCCGGCTTGAGAGGGCCGAATAAAAGAAAGCTAACAGTGTGGGAGGACAGGGCTGCGGGTGATGGGAACTGTAGTCCAAACGCGGGCTGTGGGTGATGGGAACTGTAGTCCAATACACAACAGAAGGCTGAGTCAGTGCAGGGCAGCTTGAGAGGGCCGAATAAAAGAAAGTTAACCAGTGTTGGGGGACGGGGCTGCGGGTGATGGGAACTGTAGTCCAAATGCGGGCTGTAGGTGATGGGAACCGTAGTCCAATACACAAAAGGTGGCTGAGTTGCCAAAGGCCGGCCCGAGAGGGCTGAATAAAAGAAAGCTAACCAGTGTTGGAGGACGGGGCTGCGGGTGATGGGAACTGTAGTCCAATACACAATAGGTGGATGAGTCGCCAAAGGCCGGCCTGAGAGGGAAGAAGAGGAGAAAGCTAACCCGCGGCGGGAGGACGGGATTCCCAGTGGACTTACCCGTCAGAGTCGGATCTGGCCACTCCCCGGTTGCATCCTTTCGCGGTCCCCGTTCCTCGCCGAGTCGCTGCTGAACCCCGAACCAAGGACGGCGGGCTTTCTGTTCAGCAAGACTCCTTCCCGAGGCTGCTCCCGGAGACTCCCGGCTGCTTAAGTCCTCAGGCGGAGGAAGTCCGGCTCACCGCAGGAAGGAACCGAGCCAGCCACCAGCTGAGCCGCAAGACACCTCGGACATTTCCGGCTCCGTTCGTTTCTCAGGCGCGTGAGGAAGCCTGGGAAAACATATCCACGTTGCCGAAACCTGCCACTACTTCGACGTCACTTCCTTCACAAAAGGGATTGGGGTGGGGGTGAACTACAATACCCAGGAGAAATCGCGTTTTGCTACACGCTTGCGGTGGGAGCAGGGTTTGTCACACACACACACACACCCCCGTCGCTTTACGGGTGGCCTGCAGTACCCAAGAGGCATTGCGAAAGCCAAGCTTCCTTTGTTTATCTACCAGAGGTCAACTTTAAGACTTGTGGGCTTCAACTCCCAGAATTCCTCAGCCAGCTAGAATTCTGGGAGTTGAAGTCCACACGTTTTAAAGTTGCCAAGTTTGAGAACCCGATCGAAGGTGGTAAATAAGTTAGAAGTGGGTCGAGGTGGAAGAAATCTAACGATGGGGGGGCGAAGGATCGGCATCAATCGGTCAATCAATCAGTCGGTCAGAGAACGTACATTGTGACCCCGTCATTGATCCATTCTTTTTGTAACTACCAATCCCTGATCTATGCGCTGTAAAGCAGTATGTAAGTCTAAGTGCTACTGCTATGAAGGTTGCAGTCCTAATACCCACTTGGATCGACCCGGTTTATGATTCAGTTGACAAGCATTAACATTGCACTTGCTGAGGCTTGATTTTAAATTGGTGTTTTCCAGCACTAATTGCCGGTTTTTATTTGCAATTTAATGGTAGATGTTTTATAGCTGCTGCATTTTATTAGAAGTTATGCATTTATTGCAAATGCGTTTATCCCAAACCCCACTGGAAAAGAGCAAAAGGAAAACAATTGCTCTTAATAATATTTATCGACGTTTCTTCCAATAATCCAGGGGTCTTTAAACTTGACAGCTTTAAGACTTGTGAACTTCAACTCCCAGAATTCCTGAGCTAACATGACTGGAGGAGGAATTCTGAGAATTGAAGTCCACAAGTCTTAAAGCTGTCAAGTTTGAAGACCCCTGCAATAATCCAATAATTCCCTCAACACTATCAAACTATTTACTAAATCTGCATCACTATTACTGTTAATCCTCCCATCCTTCCTTTCACCCATCTCCTCCCACTTATGACTGTTTTACTGTAACCCTGTTGCTTGTATCCTAACGATTTTTATTGAGTATTTCCTAGTATGATTTGATTGCTTATTTATTTATTGAAAATCTGGAAAAAAGTTTGTACCCTATGGCTATTATTAAGTGTGGTACTTTATGATTCTTGACGAATGTATCTTTTCTTTTATGTATACTGAGAGCATTTGCACCAATTCCTTTGTGTCCAATCACACTTGGCCAATAAAGAATTTCTATTCTATTCTATTCTATTCTATTCTATTCTATTCTATTCTATTCTATTCTATTCTATTCTACTCTACTCTATTCTACTCTACCCCTCTCTACTCTACTCTACTGTACTCTACTCGTGTCTGTCTGTCTGTCTGTCTATCTATCTATCTATCTATCTATCTATCTATCTATCTATCTATCTATCTATCTATCTATCTATCTATCCTCCATTCATATCTATCTATCTATCTATCTATCTATCTATCTATCTATCTATCTATCTATCTAATCTAATCTAATCTAATCTAATCTAATCTAACGAAAGTGTTGTCGTGGAGTAATGGACTGCATGAGAACGGTTTCCACTACAAAGAACTACAATTCCCGACAGCCATCGCGAGGTCTAGGAGAACGTTAGCCCGGGCAGATCGAGCGCGCGGAGGTTCTTTTTGTTTGATTTCCGGAGCTTGCGGTAAATTTAACCACATCAACAAAGCTGAGCAAGGCAAGACGCGGGAAAGCAAAAGCCGAGGGATCGGAGATCCCTGTTCTTCATGCATCACCCTCTTGAGCATCATGCACAGGTAAAGATAAATGGTTGCAGCTAGGTAGGCGGATGCAAAGAAAAGATTAGGAGCGGCGGGATTGGCTTGCGCGACTTGTTGCGGGTCGTTTGGAGTTTCAGCCTAAAAATGCTTCAATTCACAAATCGGGCGTGTCCTTTTCAGATTATAGCTGCACATCTATTCACTGCAGAGGATCCCCAAGGGATTATGCATCATAAATATTTGCATAATAAGAGCAAAGAAGTTTGGAAAATTAGGGTACTGGCGCGTTGTCCATATGCGCAGTTGGCACAGGTGGATAAGTGTGCTAGCACATGGATTTGAACAATGCCGGAATAAAACTCCGCAGATGTGCATATGGGCTGAATATGGGTCTCTTTTTGTCTTTTGAATCCAGTTGAAAATATACATACTGATGGGAAGTCGTCTCATAGTATTGCAACGGTGTTGCTAAACTGTATTTGGAAATGCTGTATTTGAAATTGCAAAAGTACTTTATATTAAAGGTTGTTGCATCTAGGTACAATGATGTAATATGTCATTTAGGTATTTAAGAGTTCCGTTGAGTGCAGCTACATCAACCTGTCCATTGATTTCTTCTAAACAGGATATTAGGGTTTGTAATTGCTGTCCTCAGATTTGTCCTCTACATAGGTAGTCTTCAATTTACAACCACAATTGAACTCAAAATTTCTGTTGCTAAGCAAGATGGTTCTTAAGTGAATTTTGCCCCACTTTGTGACTTTTGTTAAGTGAATCACTGTAGTTGCTAAGTTAGTTAAGATGGTTGTTAAGTGAATCTGGGTTCCTCCCATTGATTTTGCTTATCAGAAGGTTACAAACGGTGATCACTTGACCCGAGGACACTGAGTTCATAAATATGAACGAGTGGCCAAGCGGCTGAATTTTGATCACATGACCATGGGGAATGCTGCAGTGGTCATAAGTGTGAAAAACGGTCATAAGTCTTTCAGTGCCCTTGTAACTTCGAATGGTCACTAAATGGATAGATATAATACTATGTCTAGTCTTCTGTTGAAACAGGGTGTTTTATTTATTCTTCCATGCAGGGCTTCCATCAATCCAAACAATTTCTGATGATAATTATAACAAGCTGTCAGTCTCCCAGTCCAATATGTCTTTTATTTTTCTATCTGTATGTATGTATGTCTATCTATTATCATCGTCATCATGTATGTATGTGACTATCTGTCTATCTATCCTCTTTCCTCTATCTTTATCTGTCTGTCTGGCCTCTATATCTATCTATCTATCTATCTATCTATCTATCTATCTATCTATCTATCTATCTATCTATCTATCTATCTATCTAGCTAGCTAGCTAGCTAGCTAGCTATCTGTCATCCATCCATCCATCTATCCATCCACCCACCAAATTTACTGGCCGCCCATCTTATCACAAGGCTAAATTGATGAATACATTTGTGTACTTTACTCAGTATGTACAGTATTTTGATGGTATTACTTCATTACTTTACTCAGTATGTACAATATTTTGATGGTATTGTTTTGGTTGCAGGAAATCTCCTTGGCCTAATTCACCCATCACACAACAAGCCCCCCTTTATTCAAAAGCCACAATTATTTCGATTTAGTCATATTGTTAAAGAATACATCTGTTTTCTAAGTTATAATATTTGATTCTGTGCAACTTGTTGAGTAAAAAATAAAATTGAAAACACAACATATGCCAAAAAAGGTATTTGTGACCAGATTCAAAGTTCCAACAGCTGCCCACACCCTGACCAAGTGATCACATTTTGGGGGCTTAGCAACTGGCCCGCATTTACGGGCATTTGAAACAGTCCACATTTGTGACTGCAATTTACAACTTTTTTTTTTTTGTCGGAAACCGGCATTTACTTTCTCCTTCTGGGAATAATCACCCTTTGCAAACAGTGACTTTACTTGATGGCTTCAATGTTTGCTTAATGATGCTGCTGTTTGTGTTAGGACCAAAGTGTTTGCTTAATGACAGCTGCAAAAAAAATAAAAATAGACACGATCATAAGCTGACCTTAACAACCGGAACAACATTTGACTGTAATTCCAGGTTCAATTATGGTTGTACATCAAAAACTAGTAGTAACGTATGTAGTAATGTATAAAGGGATTCCAGTCAAGCAAAGAATGAAGTAAACATATCTGGAACTTTTAACTCTCATCTTCCATAATAATAATAATGATTCTGAGTCTTAACTACTTCAATTATTGATTATCTAGCTGTTTTCTTATTAGGGCAGTGTTTGTCATACCAATTATTAAATTTTCTGGGAAAACAGAGTTACTTGCTTTGTGAATTCCTACTACTAGATCTAATCAAGCAGAACAAAGTCAGCAGGCTTTTTCTAGCAAGATTATTTGGGGCACGTACAACTTGCATAACGAACACACAAAAATCATTCTTCCTATATTTATATGCCTGTCATTTATTGAAATCTTTGACCAATCCTGTCAGAATAGAACAATCCCTGGCCTCAGTACTTTTCTGGAGGAGAAGCAACTATTTGTGCCTCTCACATCATTTTTTAAGGTGTAATTTTTAAAGGTGTAAGTACAAAGGCATGGTTTTTTTAAAGGTGTAAATTTTGAGTGGCTCAAGGTAGACTCAGCCTTCCATCCTTCCAAGGTCGGTAAAATGAGGGCCCAGATTGTTGGTGGCAATAGGTTGACCTTAAACAGCTTAGAGAGGGCAGTAAAGCACTGTGAAGAGGTATATAAGTCCAAGTGCTGTTGGTATTAAGTCTCTGTTCCTGTGTTGGCTGAAGAGCTATTATGGATTGCATATAAAGTAGTAGCTGTGGGGCCTTTGTATCCTTGCAGGAGACATCTTCAGGAAATTCCAGATTTGGGGAGCAACATCACTACAAGTATCCCATGGAGCTGGCATCCCAACAAGACTTCAGGTCTCCTCTCAGGCATGGGAGTGTCTCCTCTTAAACTGGACAGTGAGAACACCCCCCAGGATCTGTTGATGTGTGTGGGTCCACCCACCAAGCGTCAGAAAGTGAGGGAAACCAAATTTGTGATTATCCACCAGCCTAGACTGCTTCAAGAAAAAGTCGCAGGTAAGACCTTTTTTGCCCCCACCCCCCACCCCCCCAAAAAAGATCTTTTCAAAATTCTACCTTAGGATGATGATAAAGTTTAAATTGATAGCAATTTTTTTAATTATAAAAGCAGTCTGATTAGTTGGATTCACCTATTATAGATGAGTTTTCCTTAATCTTGGTTCAACGTCAAGAAACAGTTCCTAAAGTAACACAGCAGACTTGCTATAAGCCATAATTTGCAAATCAGAGTGGCTGAATTCACTTATCCATTCCTCCCTGCATGCCCTAGGATGAAGAGGGGGTGGGCCTGGGTCTTCTCTGAATGCCCTCCGGATTGTGCCCTTCTTCAGTTTCCTCCACAGCCACCGGAGCCACATTCCCACTCCCTGTCAGCTGTTCCACCTCTCCCTCGGAATCAGATTCCAACAGGGGCATGACAGATGGGTACCTAAAGAGCAAAAGGCCAGAGCACACAATAGATGCAAACTTAAGGTAAACCACACCAAACTCAATTGCAGGAAATACGACTTCAACAACAGAGTGACCAGTGCTTGCAATACTCTACTTGACTCTGTGGTTTCTTCCCAAAATCCCAAAAAAATTAACCTTAGACTGTCTACTGTTGACCTCATACCATCCCTAAGAGGCCTGTAAGGGGTATGCATAAGTGCACCAATGTGCCTACCATTCCTGTCCTGATGCTCCCTTTTATTCTTATCCATTTCATGTATTGATAATCATGTTTATACTTCTATCTGTTATCTAATATATGCTCAATGAATAAAATAAATAAAATAGAGCCCATAACAAGCCTGTTGTTATGCCTGCCACACCTCACTAACAAATGGTGGGTTTGAGCAGGGTATTTCTTAAACTGGTTGACTATACTTCTTCAAATTTTCTGAAAACCACGTTTCACTCTTTTAGACTGGTTTGTAGTCCCACTGTATTTACCTTGAAGTGAGTTACATGGAACTCTGTAACATTTATTTTTGAAAGCTGTCTTGGATTCTGTGTGTTGTTGTGGATTTTCGTTTCAAACCATGTAAGATCCAAAATTGATTTGAGACCAGTGCTTCCATTTGTTTTATAAACAATGTTTATAGACACCCTAAAACAGATTTTTGAAAGCCTGACCATTAAGAGTGCAAAATTCATAGTGCTAAAACCTATACTACTTAAGGATAAATTACTACAGAATGACAGAATTGCAAAATAAAAACAAATTAAAATTAAGCAAGCCAAGAAAGTTGAAAAGGTTTTCCCCAGCGCTAAAGTAAAACATGTTAGGCACCAGACATTTCCTCCACCTGTGGTTATGAATGGATTATTCCTTTTTAACTCCCCCACTATATGTCATCCAGTCAGGATACCACCAATTTAGTGGGCTTCTTATTGTTTTGTGGAATCTGTTAAAATGGAAATGAGCATCATTAATGGTGATTCAAATTTCTTATCCATCTTGTTTAATAGTAAAATGACCTTAACTGACCCACACAACCTCAGACAATTATGGGCCAGGTACATACTTTGCTGAAAGGAAGAAATGCAGTGTTCTCCATGAGTTGGAGAAGTCCAGCTGGATTTCCTGTGCAAAAGATGCTGGAAAAATTTAGTTATCAGCCAATGGACCAGTTAAAGCAATTCTGAAGCTTGGCAGCTTTAACATATGTGGACTTCAACTTAAAGAATTCCATTCCAAAATGTGGAAGTCCACACATTTTGAAGCATCAAGCTTAAGAAACACAACACTCCTTCACAATAATTCTTTCCTCTCATCCCCCAAAGGTGTTTCTTGGGATACTTTGCCAGATGAACTGCTGTTGGGAATCTTTTCCTATCTAAACTTGACTGATTTGCTGAAAGTTTCCCAGGTTTGTCAGAGATGGCATCGCCTTTCGTAAGTGGCTGTCGATTTCTAAATAAAACTGTATATATAAATATACAAAAGCATTTTCTTTGTACTGTTTGCTGAATTGGTTTCCATTGAGCATTATTATGATTTGTTAATCTCAGTAGGAATTCAGTGACTTGGGACTTTCACTTGTCATACGTGAGGCAACAATACTCCATATACATAAATACTGTAATAGCATGATATTAGGATGGAATTTTAACTGCATGCTGCAGAATTGTAATATTTTCCACCTAGATCTAAACAGATTTGTCACTTTGACTCTTTTTCTGTTTTTAAATGAAGTTTTGTGAAGATTTTGCCCAGCACACACAATATTTATTCACTTTTCATAGTGTCAATACTTCTTGACACCAGTTTCCCATATATGTATAGATATATGCATGTACAGTATGTCAACTTACAACCACAACTGCGACCAGAACTTGTATTGCTAAGCAAGGTGATTAAGTGAGTCATAGCTGATTTTTGTGATTTTTTTAATGAGTATTGTATACTAATCTGCTCATGGCAACCTTAGTTTTGCTAATATTTTGGGTTCAATTGCTATTAAATTAATTTCCTTTTTTCCCCCTTTTCTTTTTTAAAGGCTTGATGAGTCGCTGTGGCAGAGTCTTGATCTTGCAGGTAAAAATCTTTTGCCAGGAGTGATTGGCCAATTGTTACCCTTGGGAATAACCGCCTTCCGCTGTCCAAGGTCCTGCATTGGGACACCTTTGTTTAAAACAAGCAGGTAAATGCCACACCTAATATACTGTTGTATGTTTTGCAAAAAGAAAAGAACGCTTTTCAAAGAACTAGAAAACTTTGTCAGCTGACCTAGACTTTGGCACTGGACATCAATGCAATGCAATGTCTGAATAGACAATCTTTTTTGGCCAAGAGCAAAAAATGTTCACCCTGGTTAAGTTGTCTACTGAAAAGAAAGCTGTCATGGTGGGCAGGGTTAGCCCCAAAACAAAATAACATTGAGGCTATAGACCGGTGCTTCGTTTTGAACCATCTAGCCTTCATATGTACAGCTAGTCCTTGATTTACAAACATAATTGGGCCCAGAATTATGCTTCTAAGTCATTGCAATTATAAGTAGGGGCACCCATTGACCAGAAGTAATTTTTTGATTTTTTTCGTGGCAGTCATTAAGAAAATGCCTTGGTTGTTTAGTGGACACTTAAGAATTGTATTCCGCTGTTTTCCTCACACTATTGCTTGTCTTCTCTTTTTTAGGGCTCTTTGTGTGCAACATCTGGATTTATCGAATTGTTCAATAAAGGTTATAGATCTTGAGGGTATCATTGGCAGATGCCAGAGTCTGCAGAATCTCAGCCTAGAAGGTCTCATACTTTCTTCGGATATAGTTAGGTGAGCGATTAAAAAGGTGTGAATTTTGGATGCTGACTTCAGGAAGAGAAAGTCGTAACAAATCCTTGACAAAATCCTTGCCTGGTTCACAGACTTGGAGTTCATGTGTTGGGGGGTGGGGGCTCATTGTTCTGATTGCTATGCCTGTTTTTCTGTGGGCTGTTATCCTTTATAACAGAATTCCCCAACGTTTCGCTTTGCGGCCTGCTGGAGGGAGAGAGGATGGAGCTACATGAGTGGCCAGCAAATGTGCGCGTGCCCAGCTTCATTTGCACAAGCGGTGTGCATGTGCCTGCTGCTCACTTAAATGGAGTGTGCATGTGCACTGCTTACACAGTGAAGGTACATACTCGCTCTGCTGTTTCCACAGCCCAGGCTGCAAACCCATCACAGTCCACTAGGGCAGGGGTCTCCAACCTTGGCAACTTTAAGACTTGTGGACTTCAACTCCCAGAATTCCTCAGCCAGCTTTGCTTTCAAAAATTATCCTCATGGTACCTAGAAAACAACCTGCATCTAAACATCAGCAAGACAAAAGAGATGGTGTTAGACTTCCGGAAGAGAGAGGAACCTGCCCCACTTTACATCGAGGGGGGCTGTGTGGAGAGAGTTTCATCCTTTAAATTCCTGGGAGTCTATCTCAGCAAAGATCTCACCTGGAAAATCAACACAATCCAGGTGGCCAGGAAGGCTCAACAGAGACTCCATTTCCTTCGGATCTTGTGAAAGAATAAAGTGGAACAACGACTGATGACATCCTTTTACTGGTCCACAATAGAAAGTGTCCTCACATATTGCCTTACGTTGTGGTATTCTGGCTTGACAGCCACGGATAGAAAGATATTACAGAAGGTGGTAAGCACAGCACAAAACATCGTGGGCTGTTCCCTGATACCACTAGATGATACCCCTAGGGCTCGCTGCCTTAGAAGAGTGAGGAAAATGCTCAGGGATGACTCACATTCCGGTCAGCACTTCTTCACTCTCCTACCATCGGGTAGGAGATATAGAAGCATAGCCAGCTGCACTAACAGGCTGAAGAACAGTTTCGACCCTGTCAGACTTCTGAATGGCAAATAATTTCACGTCAACATAGTATGATAGATTTGCAAGACTGGCGTGTTGTGCAACAAGGTCCCATAGTGTAATAAGATTGGGATTGGGTTAGGGACTTCTGTCCTCACTGTGAGTTGTGTTGAGAGGTGTGTGCACGAAGGGAAGTTCCGCCAATCTCATTGTACACATGTTGTACTCTGACAATAAAGGTAATAATATTTTGGATGTTGTAAGTTGCCAAGAGTCTTTGGGTGTGGGCTGGTTATTATAAATAATAATAACGTAGGGTGGAGGTATTCTAGAAGCAGGCTCAGAGACATTGCAGAGTCATGTAATTATTGAAGATCCTGTGCCCTGAGCTGTAGATCACAGGAAGTATTGGGTTTACCTTCTCATTGGTTGATTTCCTTCCCCTTTGTGTCAGTGATAAAAAAAAGTAAGAAATAAAATGGTTTCCAGCTCAGCCGCAGAATCAAAAGCTAAACAATTTTGCATAGAGTCCTTGCTTAATGACCTCAATTGCGGCTAGCAACTCCTATGGCCAAGTGATGTTGTTAAATCAGACAACATGTGACCACAACTTGTGAGTTTAACTGCCGGTTTCTCCACTGACTCTTCTTGCTGGAAGCTGGTTGTGTAGGGTGCGAATGGCAATCGTAGGCTGCAATTGTAAATGCCTACCAGTTACTCCCAAATCTTAGTCATATGACTGCGGGAATGTTGTGACACTCATATATGCAAGGTCAGGTCATAAAATTACTTTTTCAGGACCACTATTACTTCAAACAGGGAAATTATTAAGCAAGGACTATCTGTACTCATCTTCTGTCCTGTAGTCTGTGCCAAAAGGGCTTTATGGAATCCTTCAATTACTTCCTTTTCCTTCTCTGTAGAATTGATCTGTCCATTCATCAACTTAACAAACTTTGTAGTAGTAGATCAATAACTCATTAATCCAAAGGCAATATTTTAAAATGTTCTGTTTATTTTGAAGGTAGGAACATAAAAAGCGGTGAATGAAAGACAATACCTGACTTTCTGCTTTTTCATTCAAGAAGGGAATGCCTCTTTTAAGATAATGTCTTCATGTATGCATTATATTACTTCTATTGACGTGAAGATGTACCCAGGTTCAGTCAGTGGAGTAACTGAACTTCTAATTAAATTGATCTTAGGAATCCTTCATAATTGCACCATGTTTAAAAATTCAGACTAAATCTGGTTTGGTGTTCCTTGTAATATACAACTTCTTTCTCCCTCATTTTTTACTTAAGATATAACTCTTCACTCAGTTTTTGGACCCCTTGGCTTCACAACATTGGTGTTGATTTTGAAGCTGTGGGGTTTTTAGAATCATTTTTGTGATTTGTATTTTACTGCAGTTCTCTAGATCTTTCCTTCTCCACTCCTTCCATGTAAAGCAGAGGTCCCCAACCCCTAGGCAGCAAACCTGTCCAGGTCCGTGGCCCGTTGGGAACTAGGCCATGCAAGGAAAGCTTCATTTGTGCAGCGCGCATGCACAGTAGCTAAACTGCATGTGCAAAACCATCCCCTCCCCTCTCACTGCCATTGGCGGTGCCGCTGCTGCTGCCAGTCCGTGGAGGTTGGGGGCCGCTAATTTAAAGAACATGGATAAATTTTTATTCTTTTTCCCAACAGCTTTTCTCTTTTATTCTATAAACTGCTTTATTTTGCAAAGAGCAGTATATACATTAAATAAATATTCAGAAAATTCATAACCAATTCGGCCCATTAGAAATAGTTGGGTATCTTCGGGCTCTCTTGCAGTTTTGGCTCCTGATGATTGAACAAATCAATTTTAGCAGTATTTGAACACTCTGTTCTTTCTCTTTTTAGAAGTATAGCACAAAACCCCAACTTGGCCCGGCTAAACTTATCTGGATGTTCTGGATTCTCTGCAGATACTGTGGAAGTGTTGTTGAAAAGCTGTCTGAGGTAATATGACTTACATGAGAGGTTACATTGAATTTAGCACTAGTGTTAAATATTCAAAATGGGATTTGTTGATAGAAACTCTAATAACAATCCAGAGTTCAGATTAGAGGGACAAGTTGCCGTGGGGTGGAGTGGTCATCTAGGCATTCACACATTGAGTTGTGCACAGATGCAAGAAACTCATAAATACGATGCATAACAAAAAAAATACCTTGGAATAAAAAGAAAGGCACAAGTAGCTAGGTGTGGATGATGTGTAAGGGAGGCCATAAATCAAGTTGTATCATTTTTGCACCATGGTACCAAACGGGATGGCTGTGGTATTTCCTCTAGGATATTTGCCAATTTTCACTTTTTCTGCAGACCTGGGCTACTTTCCCTCCTGGTCAAAGGATTCCCAAAACCTCAGAATAGATTTCAGGGACAATAGAAGAACTAAAATATTTAAAAATCCACCACAGCCCAGTTCTGCTAGTAGAAATGCTATTATGGAGAACAACAAATTTTATACATAAGAATTGGGTTCACATATCTTGCTAATCTGTAGTATTTGTTTGAATTTAGCACAGCATGTTAATTTGAACCCAGTTGTAGGATGCAGCCACAATTCAGTGCAATTACTGAAGCCAGCATTCTTTAACAAGCTATATTAAACTATGGCTTAGCACAGTGAGTGAACTCTAATGTATTGTGTGATTGATTTTTCTTTTTCAGTTCTGAATCTACCGGCCTTCAGTGCCATGGTGTTTTGTTGTATAAAAATTAAATGAAGGTTATTTGATTGAATTTCAAAATAGAAATGTTTTACATTTTTATTTTTAGACAATTTCTAGATATTTTGATGCTTTCAAAACTCTCAGTTGATATGTATTAATCAAATCTATATCTCATGAGGTGATTTTGGGAGGCAGGCTATAATTGATAGACAATTTTTAGAATGTATTCCTTCTTCAATTTATACACAGGTTAGAAGAATTGAATTTAGGCTGGTGTGATTTCACAGCTGAGCATTTGAAGAACGTAGTCAGTCATATTCCTTCCAAACTATTGCAATTGAACCTTAGTGGATACAGGCAGAATCTCCTGATCTCAGGTGAGTTTTGTTTTGAAACAGTGGATTCAGGTGACCTACCCCATTCCTCTTATGATAATGTGAGGGGGAGATGTTTTCCATTGTAACTGAACAGGAGTTCAATTACACACCCATTTTTCTCCTTAAAATCTTAAAACCACCTGGTAAAATTTTTTAATGTGGTTTCTTGCCATGCCTCTCAAAGCATGGTATAGCGCTTGAGCCATCAAAATTTTCAGAATCCGAACCTGTGCTGAGACTTGGATACTGCTTTAATCCAGCTTCTACCACATTCTGAATTAAATACTATGGTTTACTTTTGGATTCCCACTTGGATACAATACAAACTTCCACATTCTTGGGAAAAACTTGATTTGTATAAAGGCCAGTAGCAGCTAAGAGCAGCTGTGATTTCCAATTTTTGTGTATATAATAATTTCACTTGAACTCAATCACATTGAAAAAAAAATCACCAACAGTCCATCGGGAATATTTTACATCCTTTTACAATACCTTTTAACAGCATTAAACAATATTTGCCTTCCCCCTTGGGAAGGACTTGATAAGGAGACAAACTTGCAAAATCCAGTCTAAGTATCTGGCTGACCAACCATAATTTATCCTGACTAACAGAAGCTCCCTGGATTAGAGTCAAAGTCTATCCTGGATCTTCCTAGAGAGCCCAACTATATAGACTTGTATATGCAAAGAATAAGCTCTGTCACTGAGCTAGTTAGAATTGCTTAAATGATGGTTTGGACTTAGATATACCAAATTGAATGGCCCATTTGCTTGTGGGATTGTTGAGGTTGGAAGAAGTGGTAGATACTTGATTAGCCTTATCTCATTAATACATAGCCCTGTTCAGGCTGGGTCATTTTCAGAAAGCGGAAAGCAGTCTGGATGACAGACTAAGTTAGGGGACAAAGAAGCCCTCTGACCTTACAGTTTACTTCCCAACTAAACTAGCCTTTTCTGAATGATTCTACAAATGGTAGCATCTGTAAATTCATATAGTAGGAATTAGCATTTTCAGGGGCTAAACATCATTACATAATGCATATTGTCACAAGAGTTCTGGCAAAAATAGTGAACTTTTGCAACAACTGGCAAGCTTGTGAGATTTCGAAACATTCTGTGATTTACTTTCTAGGCAGTTTAGGCATTATCCTAAGGTTTTGCAGAAAATACTGAGTTTTGCCCCATTTTATGACTTTTCTTACTGCCGATCTTAAGTGAATCACTGCAGTTGTTAAGTTAGTAACACAGTTGTTAATCTGGCTTCCCCACTGACTTTGCTTGTCAGAAGGTCGCAAATAATGATCAAATGACCCTGCAACAGTGCAACCTTTCTAAAGGTGAGCCAATTGCCAAGTGTCTGAATTTTGATCACGTGACCAGAAGGATCACGTGCAGTGGTCATAAGTGTGAAAAACAATCAAGTCACTTTTTTCAGTCCCGTTGTAACTAAACCAACTGTTGTAAGTCGAGGACCACCTGTAGATGTTGCATTTTCTAGTATGAAAAATGTGTTAAAACTAAAGTAGCCTTTTCAAGTCCTAGTAGAAAATGTACTTCTGAGCAAGTAACTTATGGCAATTGTTGTAAGGTCATATATTGGACAGTGCCACTGAGCAGCTATGATTATATTTCACTTTTCTTTTTCAGATGTTAAAACATTACTAGAGAGATGTTCTGGTCTAATTCATTTAGATTTGAGGTAAGCACTGCAACTGAATACCAGTCTGCATCTTTGAAAGATTTGTGCTTTTAATAAAAAAAACAATGACAGATTGAATTAAAATACATCATATGCCATGTATAAGCGATAGATTAATATTGGAGTAAAGTCAGGGTTCCAAGTAATACCCCCATACCAAACAGAACTCCGAGGCAGGTAGATTCCTCAAAGAATAATTTATTTGGAGATATCATATTGGCATAGATTGGGGAAAACCGACTCTAAATGTTCCTGCAATTTTCACCTAATTAAAAGTTTCCCCCTTTTCCCAACCAAACAGTCACCTGGTCCAATCTGGGTGCTGTCCAGTTGCTTGGTAACTCACTCCTCCTTTCTTCAGCCACCTGTTGGGATGTCCTTGGTTCACAGGGGAAAGTATTTTGTTTTGGCTATAAACCTCAGCTATCTCTATTCCCCACTCCCTAGCCCTCATCTCCATTGTGGCAATACTGAAGCCTCAAAATGGCCTCAAGTCAGACCAGTTTCAGAGTTGACAAGTGTATTTAAGTGCCTAAATCTGTATTAAAATTTTACTGTTCTGAGTTGGTCCTTCTAACTAAAATTACCCATTGCTTCTTTTGCATTTTTAGCCCAGCTATAAATAAATCTTGCCAAACTGAAGCATCCTATTATCTATATCAAGCATATACCATTAGGGAGGGGCTGTCTTCACCCTCTTTCTCTCACACAAAATACCTGGACTGAGCTGCCTCTGGAATGCACTCCCTCCCTTCTGGGAATCCAGCCTACTTACATTCCATCACAAGTGCTTAGTCAAGTGAAAGATACTTGAATATACGCATCCAGAATTAAATAAAATATAAGTTTTATTTTTATAAAGACACTCAAATCTCAAATAAATGGAAAATAAAATTTTCTTTAAAACATTCGTTACAGTGACAGTGTTATGTTGAAGCCTGAATGCTTTGCCTACTTCCACCGACTCACACGCCTTGAACACTTAAGTCTTAGTCGATGCTATCAAATACCTCCCGCTGCTTTACTGTAAGTAATTTTTGATATCAAATTGTTTTGTCCTAAAATTGAGAGCTAATCCCGCAAAAGCTAATTTTTTGCAAGCTATTACAGGTGAAATGTACTGCATAGTGCTTCCTTGTGACCATAAACAATTGTGTTAATTTACTATAGTTTTTTTTTTAAATGCTACGATTGTTACAAGCTATATTAGCTTTTTCCAAGTGGCACTTTTTTGTTCTTTGTGATATGTAGAGTTGTTTGTAAGAAAACATGTTTTTTTTAAAAAAAGGTCCTGTTCTTGGTATCAAGAAAAGGTTTTTCAAGTTTATGACTTTGAGTGCTCTTTATAAATACTCCACGCTGATTTTTCAATGTCTGCCTGTCTGTTTTCTTCCTTTACTCGCTTATTATGTTTTAATAATTTAATTACTATATATTGATCCTCCTTTCAAAAAGAGGACTTTAATTTCTTCTGCCATTGTCATTGTCCCAGTTTCCACCAGAGGTCTCCTGAATGCCAGAAAGTATAATTGAAGAACGTTTCCCTGTTAACATGGAATGTGTAGATTTAGGGCACACAGATTAATTATGTCCCAGCGTATTTTTATGATAGCCGTAATTGTTTATGCCTTAGTTGGAAGGATATATTGGCTTGAAACATTGGCAGAAAGGTGGGGAAAAAAATCAGTTGGAATGCCTAAGTTCCTCCCTTTGCACATTCTGGAAACATACAACTGACAATTTCTAACCTGGAAAAGCTGGATGGGATACAGTATAAAAAGGGGGAAGGATATTTGTGACGTGCATAAGTGGACCATCGTGCCTACCGTCCCTGTCTTATTGTCCCCATTTATTCGTACCTATTTCCTGTATTCTTACTCATGTTTATACTTACACCTATTGTCTTGTAAGCAATTGACAAATAAATAAAATAAATAAAAAGATCTGATTGAATGCTACCTTTAATCAAGGATGGGGCCAGGGGTGGGATACGACAGGGTTAACTATCGGTTCAGGATTACAAGGTTTGGTGATTTATGATGTGCTTCCCTGCACACTGCACCGCCTGTAAATAGTCATCAGCACGCTGCGTGCAGAGAAGCAGCCTTTGAAACAGCCCTCTTTTCCTGCTTTTTTAACTGCAGCTGTGCCTCGTTTGGCAGTTGAAAAATCAGGAAAAAAAGATCAGGTAAGAGCCCAGGTGGGTGGGTGGGCGGGCAAAAACATCAGCAGACATAGAACCAGTTCTATGCTGCTCTTTAGAGCTACCGGTTCTACAGAGGTGGACAGAACTGGTAGAAACCCCCCTCTGGATGGGGCTATGCACACTTTGAAAATGATTTGAAATTGTACTTTGGACCAAGCACACATAAGATCCAACATTTCTATTTGGAATCATCTACAGAGTATACACGGCCCTACTCAAGAGTATATTTGTTCTTGTCCCAAAGGTGTTTTCCCAAGAGGAAACTAGACTTTCTGGGTTTTTTTTTTTTTTTCATTTGAAGATGTTTCATTTCTCATCCACGAAGCTACTAAGATGCTTTTTCAAGAGGCGGCAGGAATTTCTGTTTTGTTTTTTTTCCTTTGAAAACATTTCACTTCTCATCCAAGAAACTTCTTCAGAGCTGAAGAAGCTTCTTGGATGAGAAACAGAATATCTTCAAAGAAAAATAAAAACCAGAAAGTCCAGCTGCCTCTTGAAAAAGCATTTTTTGGGACAACCATGACCTGGATGACTGAGAATCTCCATATATATTTGTTGTTCTTCCACTCATCAGAAGCTAAGAGAATATTATACAGCAGATGCATGATTAGAGGGACCACTTTTAACTATCATTGTAGATAACTTTTAAAATTATCACTTAACCACTTATTAGGGTAAATTCCTCAAAGGTGAGATACAGCACATTTTTAAACTGCATAACCAAACTGGAGAATGGTGAACAGTGTTACTGGGATACTTTTATAGTACTGTATATATAGGGTGGAATTCTATTGGTTCAGACCGGTTCTATAGAACCGGTTGTTATGATTCAGCGTAGTTCGAGAACTGACAAATCATGCCCCTGGATGGCCCCGCCCCTCTGCCTGTCCCGCCCCTCCCTGCCCAGTCCTTATTGTGCATGCCCGACATCGCTGACTGCATTCTCCCCACCCAGTCATTCAAGGTATTTTTTTTCTCCCGATGATCAGCTGTTCCAATGATCAGCTGTGCTGGGATCCCCCTCGCTGTCTTACTGCTTCGCCCAGGAGGCTTCCCTGAGGCCCAGGAGGCAAAAAGAGGTGCACAGGTGTGTGTGTGTGTGTGTGTGTGTCTGTGTGTGTGTGTGTGTGTGTGCTGGGCTGCCCCCCTCCCACACTCCAGTTTTTGCCTTCCTGAGCCCCAGGGAACCCTTCTGAGAGCAAAAATGCCCCCCTAGGAGGCTTAACTGGGGCCTAGGAGGCAAAAAAATGGGGGGAGGATCCTGCAAAAAAAAAAAAAAAAGCCATGCCCACCCAGTCACATGGCCATGTCCACCTAGCCACGCTCACAGAACTGGTTGTTAAAAAATTTGAATCCCACCCCTGTATATACAGGTAGTCCTCAGCTACAACCTTTCATTTAGCAACCGTTCAGTTACAACAGCTTTGAAAACTGACTTACAATTGGTCTTCACATCTATGCCCATCATAGCACCCCCCGGTCATGTGATCAAAACTTTGGGTGCTTGGCATGTATTTATAATAGTGGCAAATTTCTGGAGTCATATGATACCCATTTTTCTACCTTCCCAGATAGCTTCCAATAGGCAGTCGATGGGGGAATCTGGATTGGCTTAATGACCATGTGTTTCACTTAAGAACTGTAATGATTTGCTTAATAACCGTGGCAAGAGCAAGGTTGTAAAAACAGATGTGACTCAATGACTGCTTTATCAACAGAAATTCTGGTCCCAATTGTCAAGGACACCTGTATATATGTAATAAAAAAATAATCTGCCATGCTGTTTATATGCTGGGGACCACAAAATGAAATGGAACTGATCAAGTAGCTAATCTAATTTTTAACGGTTTTAATTATAAAATAGGTCCTTTAAATTTTTAAATGCTGTAAACTGCCCTGAATCCCACATCTAAATGGATGTTGGAACGAACACCCTTGCAAACAACTTACTACTTATAGAATGTACAGAAATATTAAAGTATTACATGGTTTTCAACATGCCCTTGAATTTAGAGAAGAATGGTTAAGTCACAGCTGTTATTCCATGAGGTGTGCTGCCAATCATTTAGTATTGAACACATGAAAAATTGCACTAGCTAAATTAAAGGAATTATTTTGTTGTATTTTTTTTTCTTTTAGTGAGCTTGGTGAAATTGCTACGCTCAAAACGCTGCAAGTTTTTGGAATAGTGACTGCCAATTCCCTACAGCTCTTAAAGGCGACGCTTCCGCATATAAAGATCAATACCTCCTATTTTTCACCAATTGCAAGGCCGACCATTGGCTGCAAAAAGAACCAAGAAATTTGGGGAATCCAATGCAAACTGAACTTGAGAAATCTGGCTGGGGTTTAATACATCTCAAAAGACTCTTTGACTTCTACCAACAGCATCATGAGTTCCTCAAGTCTTCACTGTGGGGTTCTTGGCATTCCGTTTTAACCTCATAATTTGCAGATTTACCGACCTGATTTTACCAGTTTATGACCAAATGCTATCAAGTATTTTACAAGTTGTATTTTTTAATGTTTTATGTTCCATGACTTATGCTGAGGCCTATCCAAGGAACGCTAATCATGCGCAAATAGTTGCCGTGCAATATGCATGCTTTCTTTGTGGAAACATTTTTTTTAAAGGTAGCTCTAGTTAATAAAACTTGTCCAAGTGTTCATATTCTCTGTTTTATCCATGCCAGTTGTTGTTGGTGTTTGTTGTGGTTAGCCGGCAGCAGGTGCAGATGGCTGAGGAGAGCGATGACTCTGATGAGGGGCCAGGACCATCAGGGAGTGGACTGCTGCCTTCAGAGATTGTGGGGGCTGGCAGCAGTGATGAGAAGGTTCCTGAGGAGCCTGTGCCAAGTGCATGTGCACGAAGGATTACTAGAGGAAAGAACAATTACAGCAGCACAGGCGACTTGGGAGTAAGGCTGCAAGGTAATGGCCTCTCCCTCAAGAGGATAAAAGCCAGGTTTGTAAAGGCGTTCTTTGCAGACAGCAAAGAAGCTCTTAGCTCAACTGGTGGACATCTTAGTTCATGAATCTTGTAAATTAGTTCTTATCTCTAGGTTTTTGGCAGCCTTGACAAACAACTTGGCAAGGCTCTTTCTTGTCGAAGATAATTGTCGGAAAGCAGCCTTTTATCTGTAAAGGAACAGCATTTGTGATTAAAAGGTGTGGGCTGCTGCCTTTGTCTGTATTTGCTCTCTGGGAACCCAGTTGGGTCAGAACAGTAGGGAGTAGAGTGTATTTGTGTTGATATACTTAAGATTCTGGCCTTTATCTGGAAACAACATCGTAGTTGTTTAGATCTCAGCTCTGGAATTTCTTGTCTCGAATCTCTATAGTCATTGAGTACAAACAACACAGCTACATGTTGCTAATGGTTACACAGATATTCCTTACACTTGGGACTGGAATTTCCATCATTAAGAGATGTTCTTGTACAGCACAATGTCACGTGGCTGCATTGCTTAGCAACGGCGACCCCTGCAGACCCTACTGCCTCTGTTAAGCGAGGATTGTGGTTCATTAAGTGAGCACCTCTTGCAACTTCCTGCCAGCTTCCCACAAGCAGAGTCAATGGGGTAGTTGGCAGGAAGGGATAAGTCCCTGGGGAACCACAGGCAGACTGGCCGCTGCTGCTGAGTGAGACAGGGAGTGGGGTAATATGTGGGTGGCTGGGGAGGCACAGCACGAGTGAGCCAGCAAAGCTTGGTTTGAATACAGAGGGGCTGGGGGAAAGTGCTCAGATGGGCATACATGCTGGAGTAACTTGCAACATTCCTTGCTTGGCTTCCCCACTGAATTTACTTGGGGGAAGCCAGCAGGGAAAGTGAAAATTGCAATCATGTTATTGCACAACCCCACAAGAAGTTGGTTGCCAAGTACCTAGATCATGATCACCTGACAGCAGGGCTAGTAAGATGGCTGAGCATAACCATTTGTTTAACACCATTTAAGTTCAGACAATGAACAGGCCATTAATAAAAGACTACCCATACTACATTCAAATAAAAAAATAAAAGCAGAATACAAATACATCTTAATCCTGCTGTTATTGTCCATCTTGTCAAAACATTAAAAAATAACTTATAACCAAAACAAAAATGTGCTCTTCAAAGTCTCCATATTTCCCTGTGCACCTGATTTTTTTCCTGCTGAGAAGGTAGTAGCAAGATAAAAATGTCTAGTTAAAATATAACTGAATTGTCCTTAAAAGGGAAAATCAATAAGGGAAATCCAAGGAGCAAAACATAACTGCAACCTGATTTTTTTTTTCATGAAATAGGATATTAATTTTGCTACATGAAAGACTCAAATGGGAAATGTAGTTGCATTAGTTCTAAATGCACTATAATATATGAGAAATTACTATGAAGTATCCTTTTTCCTAATTCTTCTGTGGTCCTAATAATACAATATTTAAAAAGAAAAGTCCTATTTACAAGATTTCATAAAGATGTGCAGAGATTATTTAACATTCTAAGTGCACAGATTATTTAACATTCTAAAATGTATTTCTTGTTACGGTAAATGTTAGTGACATACAAAGCAGTTTAAAAAGCAAGAAAAAATTCATTTATTAATTTACTAACCACAGCATACATTTTAAATAAAACAATTTTGAAAAAAGGCATAGTTGTATTGAGTTTAATTTGTACACATTCAACTATTTTTGACACAGCAATATTTGCTTTTTTTTTTTAAGAACTTTTGGCTTAAAGGCATGTTCTTAAGATAGAACAATCTTTTTAAAGACTGTCTTGTTTCCATTCTATTTTCATTACTGTTAATTATCATGGCCAGAAAATCTATGGTTTGTCACTCAATTGTTTCTTTGATGCTCATTAAAAAACCCACATTTGGCACATTTAATTGCATTATTAGGAAGGTCCAGAACGTCAGCAATTTGAGGGTTAAGAGTGTTTTCTGTAGCCCACAAGCACCTTTCCTTGGTAAGGCATATTGTGCAAACACAAATATTTGTATCCTCTCAAAATGTGATTGAAAACAAAAGGTGACCCTTTTACCCTCTACTAAATAGAGTCCAAATGCTAATTGGTCACAAGCCCTTCCCACTGCTTGACTGGCCAGTAGGGGAGGCAGATAAAATGAAGCCCTGACAGCACACTTATAGACACTGTGATATCAGACAGGTTTGGCATTTAATATGGATTTAGTATTCCCCCAGATTTCAGCTCTTGGCCTAGATGGCATGAGCCAGATGATAAGGAAGGATGTTTGCTTATTCCCAAAGAACACTAAGGTTTTTTTAAATCTTTGGCAGGACTCAAAAAATCCACTATGATATCCTCTGCTTTTCCCTTAAAAAGACATCTAAGAACACTGCTATATAAAATAGCAAGTAAAACCCACATTTTAGATCACATCATTTCAAAGGCCAGCTGCTCCTCGCATCTTTTTATTATCTTTTAATCTAATGGACAACAGTAGTATGGTATTCTTAACCCTTCATTACTGGCACAATTTAAGAAAATGGGACATAAATTTTCAACATGATGATCCATTTGCGATGAGAACACAGTACCATTCAAATATTTAGTGAGTCCTATCAAGAGTCTGCTGTGGGCCTCTCCCTTAGCACTCAATTCCGGCTGGTTTAATTTTTTGTTTTTAATAAAAGAGACATCAAGAAAACTTGCAAAGCAAAGAGCCAATCTCAAGTATCATCTTCACAAACTCTTACCGGCACACAGTCACATAAGCAATCTGGAAAGTGCAATCGCAGCCAAGTGTTTCCTTAGAAATGTCTACACACCTCCACAAGAAAGCATCTTCATCAGTTTGCCCTCTTGTAGATGACTGGCTAAGGTTGCCAAGGCAGGCATTTTGTGAACAGTCACAATCCAAGGCAGATGTTGGCATGGCCTCAACATTCCACATGCTTCCGCTGATCAAGAAAGGCTGGGAAACCCACCAGAGAGAACCAAGACTTAAATACAGAGAGTTCAGCATGCTGGGGAAGAAAACATATTCATGTTAAAGTTGCCCATACTCCCAAATTAACAATGTCAACTTTAGAACTTGAAGGTCACAAAACAAACACTGAGAACATTGAACCCATTTTACAACTTCCTTAATTTCAAACTAACAATTACAGAGCATATCCATCCTGGTTTTATTTCACTCCTGTTTTAAAGATATTTACTTGAAACAAAGTCCATTTCAGCTTCCCAATGACTAAAATCATAGCTGTGTAAACATGATCTCACACTTTCACTGAAAGACTTAGAAACTTTCCCTAATAAAAGCCTGACGCGTATATGTCAGTGTTTTTTCCCCAGTGTTACTTTGTCTTCTAAAGGGTTTATGTTCGAGGGCAGGGCCAGCTGCTGGAGAGTGGCAGTGCGAGCGATCTTCGCTTTGCAAGCCGCTTTTCCTGTGTTCGTGGAGCTCATCAGAGCTGTCAGAAGTTCTGGAGGGACGGCTGAAGGAGTTGGGATGTCCTGTGAACCGTGAGCAAGTGGCGGCTGGCAGCAAGCAGCAGGAGAAACCAGGATCCGCACGGACTGGGAGAAGGCGGCCAGCAATGGCCGCTGAGATGATCGGATGGCTGAACAAAACAAGCGATCAACAAGCAGAATGATGGTGACCTTTACTTGACCGAAGTTTTTTTTCCCCCTAGGCTTTTTGTGAGAAGTGGCGGAAGGGAGCGCTAATAAGACATCAGAGCCATGGAACCTGGTGAGAGGTGAGCACTGCAAAAGTTCTAATTGTAGCAGCAAGGGTGCTAGACAGTGAAAAAACTAGTGAAAAGGAAACCAAGAAACAATAAGAATTGAACAAAGCTGAAAAGGGCAAAGGAAGAGAATATAAAAGAAATCTTATAGTGTATTAACTTTTGATATTAAATAGTCTGTGGAAAAGAAAAAGAAACTAAATAGAGACTTGGAAATTTGGAAACTGGTAAAGCTTTGAAGGAAAGTTGAGTTTCTACAAGAACAATGACTTTACAATATAGTGTGTGACAACTAGAAGAGAGTGACATCTGCTGGGCATCTGGTGGGATATAATTGCTAGTGTTTTATTTAAAAAGAGAAAAGGAAAAATAAACCTGAGAAGTGACTGTTGAAAACCACTGCACTTACATAATTATATAACTACATTATACATATTGAACTAACTAAGTTGCTTTCCAAGAAGGGAAAATATCTACAGCTTTATAAATAATATATCTGTATATCTATATATCTTTTTAGAATATAAACACTCATAAAAGTTTATAATCTATCCTTTAAAACTTTCATTGAATATTGAATATAGTTATTGTTAAATACAAATAGAAGATATATCTCTGTTAATTTTTTTACATAGGATTAAGTAAGACTAACTACACTTTGGGGTTACTGTAGAGAACTCTATTATAAACTACTATAACTGATAATCTCATAAGGTCAAAGTAATATCCTTGATATTGGGATTAGTTACTGCTGCTTTCTGATTGATGATTTCTTATCTAAGGACAAAACCTCCCCCCCCCTTCACTGAATTAGGGCATAAAAGGGGCAAAAGGGAAAAAAGTTTTAAAAACATCATCAATAGATAATTGGCTAATACCCAACCCAAGGCATAAAATAAAAACCAACAGTGGAGGGTCAAAGAGGTGGAAGCCATAAGTGGGATATTTTGTTAAATAATAGCTTTTGGAAAAGTTTATTTAATATGGCAAGCAACCCAAATTTGACAAAGATAGGGGAGGGGAAAAAATACAACACAAGGCTTGATGATACCTTCTAGTCCCTCAACACAAAAATTAATAGAGGATATGATCCAGAAGGAACGATCTAATTCTTATAAAGACCTCCAAGTTATGATGTAGAACACGTAAGAAGTCATGTTAAAAAACCAAGAAGCCATGTTAAAAAATCATAAAGTTTTCAAAAAAGAGATTGATGTCATAAGAAATGATACAAGTGAATTAAAAGAAAGAATGCAACAGATAGATGGGAAGAGTGAAGCCTTCCATGTCCAAATTACCAAAAATGATCAAAAACTGGTAGAAATAGAAGAAAGACTCTCCAAAGAAGAAAAGAAACTTATGGAGATGAGTGAGAAATTAATCTCAACCAACAAGGAATAGAAACATCCGTGATCTTTGTAGAAGCAGAGAGAGTCTCCCAATACCTCAGGTTTCAAAATAGAAGAAAAAGAAGACGACCTGCCAGAAAAGATGGCTGACCTACTGGCAGAAGCTTTAGGGACCGAGAAAGAGCAAATGATTCCTGAAATGGACGAGATATACAGAGTCCAAACAAGCAGAAGTTCATGTGAAATTCACCAAAAAAATCAATCAGAGATGAAATTTTACATCGAACACGCGACGAACAACTTGAATATAAAGGAAAACAAATATTAGTGCTAAAACAAGTTCCAGAAAGCATGAGGGAGAAAGTACCAGTTTTTGACGACAAGACTAAATAAAAATAATATCAATTTTAGATGGCTAACACCGGAAGGGATAATGGTAATCTGGCAGGAAAAAAATACAAGCTTGACACCGAAGAAAAGGCTGGAGATTTCTACAAGCAATACTGTGACATTGAAGAAGATTCAGGAGATCAAGGAGAAGAGAAAGATATAATTGAAGGTAGAGACCCAGGACAAGCAACAGAAGAAACAGAAAGACTACAAGAAACAGAAAGACCTAAGAGAAGAGGAGATGGATATAAGATAGAATATTATGGAAGGAAATATGAAGAACCCCAAGAAGCTAGAGTCACCAGAAGTACGAGAACAAGATACAATTAAGAAAATAGATGAAGAATGGGGGATCTAGTCAATAATTATTAACAGACTTAACTCACCAATAAAACATTAGAAAATATTCATCAAATTACAAAAATTGAAAACTGATATAATTGCTCTGCAAGAAGTCCATATAAGATAGAAGCGGATGGTGGTGAGGTGAGACTGCCCATAGGCTGCTCCTAATGGCCAACAGAAATGGCTTTGTGGGGAGGCGAGTCTGCTCTCATGGCGCTTCTAAGGGCCAATAGAAGCGGCTGGTGGCGAGGCGTGGCTGCCCGTGGAACGCTCCTAACGTCTGTTATGAGCAGCCTGGTGGCAAGGCAAGTCTGCTCACAGGCCGCTCCTAACGGCTAATAGAAGCGGCTGGTGGTGAGGTGAGTCTGCCAGGGTGGCGCTTCTAATGGCTGTTAGGAGCAGCCTGGTGGCAAAGCTAATGGCAAGTTTCCTCCCCCGCCCTTCCCCCCACTTCTCTTCACCTCGTGTTTTTCCAGCGATGTGAGAAATAGCAGGGAACACATGTTTTAAATAGGCCCAAATTTTGTGGGAAGGACTTAATTTACCACATGCATATAAAATAGTGCTGGGCCTTCCTACGCAGGGGTGTATTGTTGGAGAAATACAGTACAAGAAATGAAAATCACTCAGAAGAAAAGATTAGAACCTACCTAAGGAAAGCTGATTTACCAAAGATCCCAGAAGACATGAAATTAATGCTCAATGATGAAATTACCATGGCAGAAGTAATCAAAGCAATCAACAAACAAAAAGAAACAAAGCATCTAGCCCAGATGCTATACCTGCAGAGCTATACAAATAACATCAGAATTTATATACACGTTGGAGGTCCTAACGAGAATAATTAGACAAGAAATACAGATTAAAGGATTGGAAATCAAGAAAAAAAAATTTAAATTACAAGCATATGCTGATGACTTAGTATTTTTTTTAGAAGACCCTGAACAAACAAGTCCAATATTATTAGAAAAACTTGTAGATTATGGAGAGGTAGCTGGTCTGAAAATGAAGAAAAAACAAAAATTATAGCCCAGAATATGACCAACAAACAAAGAGCAAATCTTGTTAAACTATTAGATATCCAAATATTACAAAAAATAAAATATCTAGGAATTAATATTTTGGCACGTTGCTCCACAATAAAGGAGGATAATTATGGAAATTTATTGAGACAAATTAAAACAGATTTAGAACATTGGAACAGTCTTCAATTATCATTAATTGGCAGAATTTCAGCTATTAAAATGAACATATTACCAAAAATTTTGTTCCTATTCCAAAACATAACAATCAAATTAGAAAAAAAATTCTTTAGGGAACTGAATAAAATAGCATTAAATTTTGTGTGGCAGGGAAAAGACCAAGAATTAAACTAAAACACTCACAAGATGCAAAAGAAAGAGGGGGACTAGGTTTCCTGGATTGGAAATTATATTATCAAGCTGCTGCCCTAACATGGATTAAAGATTGGATAAACTTGGGGGGGGGGGAAGACTTTTATTCTTAGAAGGGCACAATTTGCAACAGGGCTGGCATGCATATCTATGGCCTAATAGACATATAACACATCAATACTTTGTGAGACATAAAATCTGACAAGCTCTAATATTAATTTGGAATAAGATCACAAAATTGGCTTTCCTCCTTAGAAGCTATATCATACCCAAATGTCTAGAACAAAAAAAAAAGAGGGGTAGCAATATATGTCAAAGATAGATTTTCAGCCAAACAAATTTTCAAAGATAACGAAGGAAGAGTTCTAATTATAGAAGTGGAAATGACTGACAAGAAAATAATAACAGCAGCAATCTAGGTCCCAAATGGAAGTCAGGAACAGTTTTTTTAAACCTACACAACACAATCTGTGATATAGAATATGAAGAAATACGTTTAATTGGAGATTTCAATGCCATAGTGGATAAAGAACTAGACTATAAAAGTAATGAAATTAGGAGAGGAAATAGAAGAACGTTACCCAGAACATTTTTTGATATGGTTAAGGATCTAAACCTACAATATCTATGGAGAGAAAGGAACCGGGAGGTATGACAATTCACTCACTACTCGAATAGACACGAATCATACTCAAGAATTGAGATGGTGTGGATGTCAAGAGGAATCAATACAGACATTAGAGAAGTGGATATCAAACCGAGTCTTTGGGCCGATCACAACCCTATTAAATATAGCTGG